CCCCCCCCCCTCCCCGCATATACGAACCGATTAATCCGCGTCAGCCCGTTCTCCGCTCCGCCGTACGTCGGAACGTCTCCGTGGTACGGCGTGAATCGAGTAGAATGGAGACTGTCATGATAGTAAGCCGCGAGAGCGTACCAGTTTCGCCAGCCGCCTGTTGATGGCATCGGACAATGCGGGTCGTAGAAAGTGTTCTGGAGGAATGTGGTCGAGTGTGCCGACCCACGGACTCCTACGGAGAGTCACAGCACTCCACCCAAATGCACTGAGACACGACATTCTGTGCAACACGTTGGAGAGGTCCCTCGCTCTAAGGCTATTCAATAGATGACTTGTTGTTGCTTGATTCGTTTTGCCGGACCCTACTATTAAGAAAAACCTCCATTTCCCGCCTGATCTAATCCCGCGGCGGCCGATAATTTGGCGGCCGACTTTCAGAGGAGAAAGCGAAAATAGCACAGCTCAGGGAAGACTCTCCGACTCTATTGCATTACGAGTTTACGCGAGAGAGGGAAAAAATGAATGTCTCCCGTGGACCTGAATCATCGCCCACTATCACGGTGGGCGAATCGAATCAGCGCACGGACAGCCGCCTATTCAGAAATTCATTCCCCGTAGCTCAGTCGGATCTGCTCGCTCTCCGAGAATCAGCTCGTTTGCTTGAAGTCAGAAACGAGACCTTGTTGAAGAGTTCCGGAGGATGACTCGTGTCGGTGAGCTTGTCAAAACGTACGCAGGCCGGATGAGGAGATGTCAAACCGATGCCTCCCACGTCCACCTATCGCTGAGGATATTCTTGTCGTCGCCGCCGCCGAGCACCGACGCTGATTCCTTGGTCTGCGGGACATTTCTGGCGAGCGACAGGAGAAGTTACAGCGGTCATAAATTGGATCGCATCTATTCGGTGTCGTCTAGTTGATATTTACCGAGGTGTTGTCGTTGCGAGCGAGAATATATAGAGGGGATCAGGCGAGTGGGCGAGGTTCGGATGCTTAACGCAGTTTCGTTCGAATGGACCTTTCATGAGAACAAAACGAAATGAGGAACAGGAGATTAGGTGAGCGCGGCTAACATTTGCGTAGGCTATCCGTGACTACGGAATGGATTAGCAATAAACAATGAAGTCGCTGCCCAGTCGGCTACCTGCCCAGCCAACAGGTGGACAACTGGTCTGTGAATAGAATGGAATAAGATTGCCCAGACACAGCATACACGTATCCATAGACGCTTGTATGCGGACACTCCTTGTGCCCAGAGCGCTCAGAACACCGCCGTATCTCTCTAATCGCGGCCGCTATTTCGCTCGAAGAAAATTCCACTTAGGGTTTCCATTCTACTCGGAGAAAGGAAAACACGTCCGGGAAGTCGACGACGACGACGTCGACTTCCGCCGTCCCTCTCATTGTTCTAAAGGGCGTTTGCGTAATTCATCAGATTAGGCGCCTCAGAGGAGAAGCCGAGAGTGAAATAATTCTCCGTGCGGCTGGCGGCCGGAGATCCCGAATCTGGAGATGAATACTCGAAGAGTGACGAAACGCTTGACGGCGGCGATCTAGAACTTGGTTACAAAAACTCAAGGACTCTTTAATTTGAGATTTTTAAGAAAAATACTCGGAGAAAACTGCGCTGGCGGTCGGCCTCCAGAATTATCTTGATTGTCGTCGGGAACGACCGTCTCTTGATCTGAGATCCCGATTTCGTTTCGACACAGCACCTGCGGGCCAGAACTCCATTCAATGGCGGCAGACCGATCGCAGAATTCGAGAGCAAGTGGTGAAATGTCGCGCCGGATCCGCTTTGTTGTGGCCCGCCCGCTCTCTCACTTACTTAGTAGTAAAATCCTTCCCATTGATGACGTCATTCGGAGGATTTTCTTGGGGTCCGCTTCTATCAATGGAAGGAGTGATGATGATGACGACGACGACGACGACGTTAGAGACCAGCCGAGAATGCGAGCGTTGTAGCCGTGTTGGACCATTGCCAGAAGAGTCGGCGGCCAGCTCCGCCAATGAATGATCGTAATGCAGCGTAGGAGAACAGACACCGAGCCAGCAACTCGCGCAGCAACAGCCGCGCTTGCGTCTCCTGTCGCACGGAGAATTCGAGCGAACTCGATCGTCGACGACTAGGAAATTCGGGCCCGGGAGGGCAGGACAACGACTTTGAGCTCGGGCCTGAAACAAGGCGTCGAAAACTCATCGATGCGCTTGAGTGGGTTCGAGCAGGAAGTGCCCGTCGCGTAGGCGAAGGATTGGACTCTGTGGGGAGTTCGCTGCTCTGACACGGATCTCATCACGCGCGTGTGAGGTTTCCGATTTCGGATGGAAGATCGTGACGCCCCTCGCGGCTCACCTCCGACTCGAAGATCATAGACGAAGGCACTCGATTTTTGATCTGGGCTTCGGAAATATCGGGAATCGGGTCCAACACGACTTCTTGCGGACCGCGACTGCTCCCATTGGCGAAATATCTTCCAAAATATGCAACCGACTCCAGCGGAACGGGCTGCGCTCTGAAATGGTTCTGACTAACACTTTTTTTCCACGGAGCTCTCTCGCTCATTCGAGCCGGCTCGACTGTTGGGGCCACTCCGAGGAGCGCGTTTCATTGTTGAACGCGCCATTCATGCAAAATGACCGCGTAACAAAGGACCAAAGGACTCGCGCGGGAATTAGTTTCCCCTAAACGATCGCGAGGAGCGCTGTGTGGCTAACGCCGGGGGCCACGCACTCGGGGCAAATGGAACGGGGGCGCTTCAAAATTTCCCTTAATGATTTGAGACGACATTGAAGTCCGTCGCTCACAATGGAGTCCATGAATGATGGAGGAAGTCGGCGCACATCGGCGGCGTTTCCATTTATCTTTGAGCTTATCGCGTCGATGTACAACAATTGCCGACCTTTGACAACGATCGCTCTCACAGCTTCACTCAATGACTCGCGTGAGACGACCGAGCCTTGCGGGGAATATGTGCCGCTACGTGTCGAGGTTTTAATGCGGGGCGACCTTCCGTGACTCGGATTCTCAGGCTGCTTTAACCCCGCTCTTCAAGCCGACAAGATGCCGTTTCGTGTGTCTGGAAGCAGACGAGTCTCGGGGTAACATTATGCTATAAGGCTCGAAATAGATTCCATCCGGCGGATCCTACGATCAGGAGCGCTCGTGCGCTTTCCACGAAGACGGGAACAGAGCAGCTGAAGCGATTGTTCGATATTTACGCAATATCGAAAGGAAAAGCCTCGGGAGCCGAGGCGGAAGAGACTCTGACCGGGATGAATGACATTCAATCGAGGAAACCGATTCAAATGTAATGCGTTTCCCCCGCTCCCATGAAGTTTCCAGGACCTCACGGAATTCCCGCGATGTTCGGTTTTCCTCATTATCGAATCCCGGGCGTTCCACTCGCGGCCAGACGTGGCAGCGAGAGGCCGGTGGAGGCATGTCTGGGAAGGCCCCGATCCGAGGTCGAGTCCGAAGAAGCTAAACAGACGAGCGCTGGACAGTTTATCGTTCTGACATTCGGAACTTCGAAAGTTCAGTTCTCCCCGTGTGGCTGGAACGATTCTCACAACGAGCCGTGAGTCCGAGATCGACATTGTTGGGCTCGCATTCACATCCTCTGGCCGGGGGGGATGGGGGGAGGGACATCGACACAGCTCGATCGGTACTGTGTCCGTCTCTTCCTCAGACTTATCTCAAAATAACATGAAGTTCTGAGTTGAGCTAGGACCAACGATTATTTGGCGTGCCCTGAAAAGTGACGCAGCGATCCTGACTGAGTGAGTGAGAGGAATCGTTTCGAGAAGAGCTCCGAATCGGTTTCCTTCTGCATCGTAGCGCGGCTATTGAGCGAAGAAGAAGCCTTTGCACGGCATCCCCCTCGCCCTCCTTGTCCGCTTCTTCGTGCGTAAGTCGTCGTTCGACAGAGTACGTCGACCCCTTGTTTGTGGCGGATACACTGATTGTTTGCGGTGGAAATGATAAACGAGCAGAGCAACAGGTTGCGTTTTTAATTTCGTGGATAGTTACGAGCGAGGAGCAGTCTTAGGCAAGCATTTGCGAATCGTGGCACCTCGGCGTGTGCGACCTCGGGCACGCCACCGGTTCGTCCCACCGAACCGCTCCTGCGACCAATCGTGATAATTTGTCGAAAACCAGTAAATACGTTGCTTTAAATAGACGCCGTGTTCGGCCTTGTGCCCGGCGCCACCCCCTCCGCCCCGTGATCGCTGACAGAACGTGGCCTTTGCGACCCGCGACCATGGTGATGGCGCAGCTGTCAATGCTGCTGATATCGATGTGGCGCAATTTTACTGACTGGGCATGATGATATATTGAAGTGTTGATGAAGTTGAAGATTGTACTTTCACTGGACGGCTTGTCGCACTCTGTAGGAGGAGGGTCCATTCAGCCGCTATAGTAAAGACGTCACTCGGGAGGCGGGGCTTCCTATTGCGCTACGGGTAACGGATACCCTGCGGCAGGTCTCACCGCTACATTCCCGCTTGGCGTAGCTGGCCTGCTGCTGCTGCTGCTGCCACCGTCGCCGCCGCACTACAGGGATACGAAGGACTGCGCAGAGAACGGGCGAGAGAACGTGCAGCAGCTAAAAATAGAAGCAGTTGGACCCTTCCTCAATCGTCGTCGTCTATATATGGACTCTGATTCAGGGCTTTAGTTCGCTATGGGCCTTTATTCCTGACTGCCTAGTTGCCCTGCGTGTCTGCTTGCCAGCTAGCCGGCTCGCTGGCTGGCTGGCCTGACCAGCGACCCGCCAGCGAGCCCAGCAAGCCGGCCTGCCTGCCTCTTGCCGCTATCGCCGCCGCCGCTGCCGCCGCCGTCTGCTTGCCTTCCTTCTCCGTTTTCGGGTCAGGCTAAAACGGGATTCGGCGAGCACGGCGCGTAACTGCGGCGCGTTCCGGACGTTCTGTGGTGTGGGCTCGGCGTGAAAGATGCACGGATCGCTCCGCTCTCTGCGATTCCGCCGACCCCCATTTTTTTGGAGTAAACGGCTTAAATGCCCACACTCGGCTACGGTCGGACGGATTGGGCACGTGTGCTCAGTTACGGGGGGCGGGGGCGCGCAAAACGCAGATAGATCGTATCCTGGAAGTAAGCAAACGAGCTCCGTCGGTAATCGGAATATAGGTACATTTCGAGCAGGCTGAATGTTTGTTCTGTTATCTGTTATTGCAAAGGTTACGATCATTTTTCACGGCAAGCCGCGCTTCCCCATCCCATGCTGGATCAGGGATAGCTCCTCCAGGCTGGAGTCCTCGCTCGGGCTGCGGAACTCTTTTTCCTTGAGGCTGCGGTCTGGGACCGCAGATGAAGTCTGCGAGATCACGTGATTGCACGTAACCTTTATCAAAATTCGCACTTCGCGGACGGAGCCGATCCCTTCTCACGAGATCAAAGCCGGGAAGCCCCGGGCAAGTGGGAATCGCGGCGATCCGAAAGGTCTGTGAGGTATCCGCCGATATCGCTCCGGACAACGGAGTTCCCATGGATTTTCAGGGTTCTCATGTTTTTTTCAATCGAGCTCTAAAGGCGAGTAGTCCGCTATCCGTATCTCAGCGAGAGTCCGAATTATTTTTGTTCGCGGAGGATCGGCGGCCTCGTAGGATTCGTACTCGAATGATTTCACCACTGTCGTGGATCGAAGTTCGCGCTGCCGAGAAGATCGATCCGACCGCGTCGACACTGATACAGTTGTCGTGTTGCAATCATCGTAGAGTCGCAAGCTCACCCATCCGGAAAATTCCTACATCGTCCGCTCGAAATTCTCTATCACCGCGATTCCGAGCATTGGATCGCGGTTCACCCTCACCCTATGGTAGATCTGACGATTGATAATAATAATATGAGGAGGAATGTGATAGATCTTCATGTCGACGGAGAGAAATTGAGAGCCAGACCAGTATCTGCGACTTGTCTCGCATGGAAGCCGATCCGGATCAGGTCTACGATCGGGCAGCCCGATATGTTCAACTGCAACGCTGAGCAGGCTCGAGCAATGTGATGAGGATAATCCGTCCCCTGATTAGGTCCTAACGGATACACAGATCAAATCGCAAGCGAATGTTCAAGTGGAACTCATGTGGAGAGAGCTTCCGTCAATAAGATCGATCCGGGATCGATCGACACAGCTAAAAATATCTCATTCGATCCTGCGGAAATATGATCCCGCATCCCCTCACAGACGGGTATGTTGATTTCCACGTGTATTCCATCGGAGCATTCGGAAACAAGACGTAATGGAAGCGGCTCAATTGCCTCGCTGACCTTTGGACAATGAGCCGGGAACAATTTTACTACTTCAGAAAATGAATAATGCCGTGCTGTGCTCGAAGTCGGGAATCCGATGGGGAATCCGCATCACAGATTATTTTTGACAGTGACCGTCGAGGGACGGTCGGGGCTCCGCGCGTCCCCTGCCGACGTAAGTCGGTTCAACCTGCGAACTGTGATGCCCACTTCGAGTCTTCCGTGCGAGGCTTCCACGCGGAAACTTTATTCGCGGCGAAAGACGTGAATCGAATGTGGGCTCATGGACTTGAATTGGGCCGCAGATGCAACCATTTTCTGAATCTGATTTTGAAAATCAGAAATGTTACAGCGTGCCAACCTCGGAAATCAGAGGTCGGCTCTCATCGGCGTCAATTTCACCGCTCCGTAAAAAAAAGTATCCTCTCTCGCCAGATATTTTCCGAGCTGTCTTCCGACAAAGTCTCGAGGCTCCGTGAAAGCCAACGGACGGGTGATGCGTGATGTTATCTATACTTCATTATCAATTCGAATGAGTTCCCGATGCAAGATTAAATGATACGCTTCGACACGTATCAGGAAATCTCCTCAAGGGTCATTTCTGCAGCCGATTGGGGTGCGGGCTATTCGATCGCGGAAGCAGAATACAACCGCTTCTTCGCAGTGCGTTACTGGAATAAGAATCCCACCGAAAACTGTGGCGTAACTCGAAAGTCACGAGGAGGAGTCTATTCAACACCCAAATTCTGAACAAACAGGCGCCGCATCGGATGCTCGCTGGCTAGAGGACGAACTGAAGAAATTTAGGCTTACTGCCATTCCATATAGGACCGTCCGCAATATCTGTTCAATTTCATCATGCTCCATTTCGAGCGAGTTCAATCGATTCTGAAGATATAATCTATCGTGCCGTAATGCGAGCGACAACGTAATCGGCAACTTTTAGCATTGGAGAGGCTCGAAGACAAGATCAGAAAAGATTCGGAAACCTGTAAATGCGGTTTCGATCACGTGTCGTTGATAAATTTACCCGACATTATTTCGAGAAGCTCCGTGTTGCGAAGCGATGAAGTTGAGCCAACTATCAGTGGATGCGCTGCTGACTCTCGCGCCCTGTGAAAAAAAAATCGTGGAACTTATCCCGGCGCTAATCAGCCTAAAGCTCCTGACTGAATCCTAGGGTCGGGTGGCACGGGCGGCGCTTCCCTGGTGCTTAGGTCGGAGAACCCTAGGGAGCGGTCCAGCTTCCGGTACTTTTCCACCGGCAAGAGAGGTTTCCAGGAGGAATAATCTGTACGAAGAGACGATAGGATGCCTCGCAATACCTTTCCCGGAGCCTGTCTCGAGTTTGACTGCAGACTCTCTAGGGTCTGAAGTTCGCAGTTGCCGACACCTGTCGGTCTCCTAGGAGCTGACTTGAGATTCTGATGTTCCAATCGAACTTCCGGTCTTACGAAAAACTTACGGAGACTCCGGCCCGTCTTCAGCTCCGAACCTCTCACTGGAGGACCGTACGCGTTGAGTGCGAATGCCCGTCGCGATAATACGGAAAATGTGTCGGAGCATCGAAGCGGCCAAATTCTCATGGCGGGACCGCTCGCTTAGAAGAAGGCATCGGCAATCTCATGAGAAATCTGAGTGACTCCACAGATCGGTTTTTCCTCATGGCAAAGGAAAATTTACTCGTCAAGATAAGATTGGAAAAGTTGGAGCCAGTTGGATTCGGAAGCTGCTCGGGCGGAGTTCGCACCGAGCTTGGTGCGAACTCGTCTCGTTGGGAAATCCTTCAGGCCGGGGCCAAAGTTGATGGGAGATGGGAGAATGTCCGATGGAAACGTTCCCCGGTAAATCATTCATGGGATTGGAAAACCCACAAGAATGCTCGCGACGAGCGACCCCTTGAGTCAAAAAGTCCGCTCTGTGGGGACTTGTTGATTCGGCAGAGCTTCGTGTTGCGCCTACTGGGTAGATATGATCTAGGATCGATATGCCTATTGTGGAGAATTTCGTCTCCGTGAGTTTTGCAAACATTGCTCGACGCAGAGTTCGCGATAACCGCACGGGATCAAGGTATCATCGCATTACATCTGCGAGCTTCTGGATAAATACATCTCTGGGAAGTTTACCCTCGCAGAGAATTTGAATAGAATCCGGAGCACAATAGGAATGCGACGAGCAAACAAACACGCAAGCAAATGCATTTGTTCCCTTTCTTTTCAGAATGTCCCAATGCCGAAGACGGAATGGAACGCTTCGCATGCCCTAGCCCCGACTCACTCGGTCGCTATCGATGCATAGACGACCATGTTTTGTGCGACGGTTTCCTCGATTGCCCAGACGGGTCCGACGAAGACAGGCACTCTTGCATGTTCTACAAAACGGTGAGTTCAAAGCCTGTTCGGGGAGCGATTGTAGTTGCCCTCGATAGCCGAATTTTCACTCTCTGTCAACAACATTCTCGAAGAGCTTCTTGAAGTGCCATCCATTATTGTGGTGTGCATCCAGTGCACGGTGAACTCAGGCAGAGAACACCGGAGGAAAACTCCGATGAATATTGAATATTGATCTGCCAAGAGAGGAACTTTCTGCTCATAGTCAACTCAAAGAGGCTTCCCTCAGCTAGTTCTGAATGGATCCAAGCTTACAGAGTTGGCTGACGTGGTCTGTTGCGGGACGCTTCCGCGCTTTGCAGGAAGCTTCCCGCGGGACGGACTCATTGATCTCTCCCCGCATTCAATAATAGTTCTCGTCTCTTTTTCAGACGAAAGCTCACTTGGATGTTTTGGCAGACGCGTTGCTCCGATGGGCTCGAGGCCGTTACAACAAATAAGATGATGCTCCGATGTTAGCTACGTAGGAAAAGACAAGATATCGATAATTGAGCGTCGTGCATTGATCCGAGAAGAGAGAAGAAACGGCGTCTCCAAACCGAAACAAGGTCCTTTCCCGTGCGAGCAGCAAACTTAGTTAGGCAATCCTCTGAGACAATCAATTCTCAACGCCCTTCGTGCGAATCTTCACCATCTACAATAATAAGCTCCGTGTTCTCGACACTGTGGTTGAAGTTGGCTGTGAAGCGAGCTGTGTGAACGACAGCGAAGGAGGCTGGCAAGGAATCACTGACAGATACGGAAAAAAACTCGCATTTTTTCCCGGAAGTTTCAAATGACAATCGATGTATATAATACTCAGTCGGAACTATATAACGTTGGCGGGAACCATGATATACATACCGACCGACTCACGCGATGAATAGTTACCTTATTATAAGGTTATTCATATACATAATTTCTCGAGTTAAAGCGTTCTTTAACATATATATTATATCATCTGGGATAAGCGGGGAGCTAGTACATGCGAGCGATACTATATCTAGGAGGCGAAAAAGGATAGAACGGACGGGTTGCTATTATGCTTCATGAGACACCCATCCGAGAAGATCCAACCGAGTTATAGCGATATCTACAGCCTCAGAAACATGCAAAGACTCCAAATGAAACTATTTTGCTGATGGCCAGCCAGAACAGAGAGAAAGAACAGACCCTCTTCGAACTGATCATCATCGAATCAATGCGATCGACAGTGACTGCGAAAGACAACACATCTCCGGGAAGGCCAAGTTGGAAGAAGAGAAAAAAAACTCATGAAGAGGATCAAGAGGGAAAATTCGTGATTCTCGCTGAGAACATCCGCAAGTCGATTGCCGAAGCTGACGGCAGACTCACTGTGTAAGACAATCAATTCAACAAACAGACAACAATCAAGCAAGTAGGAAGCATTCACAGTATAATTTTACCGATCGACGCATGCCGAGTCTAGGGAATCCATCCCACCGATTGGAGCGACTCATTAAACCTCTTCACTTGCGAGAAAGTTCACAGTTCGATTGACGTCCTCCGGAATAATAGTCTCCCGAGACTCGGCCTCGATTTGATTGATCGATCATTATTCGATCAAGCGACCGAGCGAGCAAGCAAGCAAGCAAGCAGGCAATCAAACAAACAGAATAACAAACGAAGCGACAAACAATCAATGAATCTATGTATGACAAAGACTCATCTGAGTGAAAATTGACAGGGGACATTTTGGATGATTTTTTCTTTCAACTGATTCCTTTCCATTCAAGAGACATCGATCAGCTACCTCGATTCCTCCCTCTCTCTCTCTCTGTTTGAAGGTGAGGTTTCCTGAGTCGATTCTTCCCACTAACCAACAAACATCAATAACAACGACGAACTCGATCCCGACGGAATGCTCATGTGCTGATCGGAATCGTCGACATTATCGGTTCCCTTAACCGATCCTCCACGAGCGACCATAGAGACTCAGAGATGTGCGTGCATGTGTGAATGCGTATATGAGGCGAACTATTAAGTTTCTTAGGTATCGTTTATATGTATACTTATTGCGGAAAAACAAGAGACGGATCGCTGTGGTTGGCCCGCTCAGATGATTCGGTATAAGCGGAGAGCACGGCCGCTCAGGATTTTCAATGGCGGAAACTTGGCTGCTTTGATTCGCTCTTGGAGAAATGTTATTCGTTTCTGAATGCAGCATTCAGACTCGGTCGAATTTCAAACGGCGAATCAGTGACGACTCGCGTCAACCGGTTTGAGACGGAAAATCGAGAATGAACCCAGCATGACTCTTGCGAATCGCGATGTCCTTTTGGATGTTTCCCGTTCTCTCGTAGGAAATTGGAATTCTCGGAATCCCGAATCACCCGAGCAGCTGCCAACTTTCGGAAACGAACGTTGGATACAACGTTCGATGAAGTCGACAACATATAAAGAGCTCACCTGATAAGAAGTGCAAATGGCCAAGACCCTCCGACTCTGCAGCCAAGCTCTTCTAGACTCAAAAAATCAATGTCCGAGATCTGACCTGCTACCATAAAGAGGATCCATTCGACTCCACTCTCACTAACGACTTTGGAGCAAATGCATAATTCGCTAGTCTACGGATGAGATCCAAATGTTGACAATCTAACGAGCATAGGCCGCTCAGATGACTTTCGACCCCACTCCCTCGGTGGAGAGCCGCAAATTTTCCTCTGAACGTTCAAGGACGCTCCCGATCCCCGCCGAATTCTGGTATGCTGACCCCCCGTTTTGGGTTCATGCCTCGGCATCCACTGAATTCTGAAATTGTGTTTTCGAGCATTCGAAACCGTTTTGGAGGAGAAGTCTAAAAAAATCCTTCTCCCAACGTCGCACGAGGACTCGTGATCTATCGGATTGTGCAAGTCACCTCAGAGAAACGAGCCGCCTTTCGGGGTTGGGGACTTGAGAGCTCGTTCTGGTAGCAGCTAAGATCGTCAACGAACATGAGTGAGCGCAGTGCAGATTTACAAAGAAGGAGAAACCTTCATTCAATTTTACTTCGGAATGATTCCTGAAGCGCTAGCATGAACAAGACTGCTAACTAAACGGATGAACAAGCGGACTTGGCTATGTCGCAGTAAGCCGTGCCACGAGCGATGTTGACGACTTGTGGGGAAGCTCTCCCTTCAATGACTTCATTTTATCAGTTGACTCGTTTGGAATCTCTGTTCCCTTTCAAAAGGATCTCAGTGAGTGCCTGGACGACGGATGATTAGCGCTGTGTGGACTGGATGTGTCGCCCGCAGATGAGTGCAGCGGCACGTTCTAACGATCGACAGCGTAGTGTCGACTTAACAGGAATTCTCACTGGAAATTCGTTCGTCGTCGCCGTGATGAACGGAAAAGAGCGCCAAAACTTCGATCGGAAGTCATGCGGCGCTTCCATACACTGAGCGGAAGATCGAAAAATTTCGCTATCTCGGATTTTTCGCTATGCAGCATTTATCCTCGGGGGAGTCCTCCAGCGAACATGTAACGCTGTGAGGGCATTAACGCTCGCCGGCTCCCTAGCTGGCTTTCTTGCTCGCCTGGACCTGTCTGCTAATCATCTCTCACTATTCATGGTTGAATAACCGAGAAAACGAAAGTGTCGCGTAGGTCCGACAACAATGACCCTGAACATGATGACGATGGCCGCAGCGGCGACGGCGATGAACACGGCGATAGCATGACGACAAGACGACAATGTCGAAGTCGATTAAACGTTACGTGTGATAAATGGGCATGACTAATAGATTCCCAGACTCGTGCTGCAGCATAGAGAATGTCATACGTACATTCGTGACATACGGACATACCGACATACACCCATACGTACGAGCGTACATACGTACATATGTACAAGCGTACATAAGTACAAGCGTACAAGCGTACATACATACATACATACAAACATACAAACATACATACATACATACATACATACATACATACATACATACATACATACATACATACATACATACATACATACATACATACATACATACATACATACATACATACATACATACATACATACATACATACATACATACATACATACATACATACATACATACATACATACATACATACATACATACATACATACATACATACATACATACATACAGCTCGTTTCCATTTGAACGATACCGATATTATTGTACCACTACTGTACCACTCGCAAATGGACAATCGTTTTGAACTCGTCAATCTAATTCGCCGTCCCTTCCCTCCTGTCCATCTAATTCCTGTCCCGCCATCCCGAAAATCTCCCTTCAGCTGTGTATATCCTGAAAGAGGCTACGTTTCGAAAGATGCAGCCGTCTAATCGCGGAAAATGATGGTGATGATGATAACAATAATAATACTAGTAATATCCTTGTTGACATCATTATATTGGGCATTAGCAAGCCGACTTGTAAGAATAATAATATGCATTTCCTTGACGCCAGCTTGTGCAGCGGCTCAAAAGGAATGCGCCATAAGACGCGTTAATAGATGATACGATTTTGTCGCATACAGCATACACATGTTTCCAGTCACAAATCTAAAGAACCGACAACTCGGTCAGCCAGACAGCCAGACCGGCTACGGGAGCGATAGAGAAGATCCCGGTGAATTGTACCGTTCAGTCGTTTGACAATCAGAAATCAGACAAATCATCACTGACCTAGGTAGTTCGAAGCTGCCAACAACAGAAGACCCAATATTAAGTATGCGGAGAAGCGCCGAAAACAGCTCTGGAAGATTGATAAGCGGAAGATAAGGGCGAAACCAGAACGTCCTCTGCAAGACGTCATCCTGACCACTCAACCTACTTATCGTATCATCGATCAAAAATCAAAGAGCTTCAATCAGCCTAATTGGTCGGATGAGCCCGAGGTGAGGAGTTCGCCGGAACCGATGAGCCGGCGGCAATCAACGGTCGCGTGTATTCAGCAGCATAAATGTTATTCCCTCGAGGGTTATATACTCGTTAACGCGATAGATAACTGTAATCATCCTACAATCAGTCTCTTACGGAATCAATTTCGGATCCGCTATTCTCGTAAGCGACCCTTGCAACGGTGGACAATCAGTGTAACAGTTGCAGCGAAGACGGTGGCTGGAAGAATTGCAGGCCGCAAGCTGTAAGACAGCGGGCTCACAGATCGCCGAGATCACCTGTCTTTAATCAGACCTGATTGTCCCGATTAGCTCTAGAGTACAGGAGCGATTGGTTTTCTTGTTTCCCTGCTGTCGCCACCGTCTTCGCCACCACCGCCACGTCCGCGGTACAATCGAAAATCGAGCCTTCCTCACTAACGCGTTAGCCGCAGTTCCGTCTCTGGTGTAGCCGAGACCATTCCAAGCGTAGGTCCCAAGGACCTCTGAAGGAGCGGTTTTCTCCAAGCTTCCTCATACGTGTATAAGTTCCATCATCGTATGCTTTTGATCGGGTGAGTCACAAGAGAGGTGA